CGTAATGACCGAGGTCCACTTAGGACCGAGGTCTGAATAGAGATTGCGAGTCGCAATCCAACCACACAGCGAGTACACCAAATGCCACTTGGAACACATTACCGCTGTGCCAAACGTTGCTCGTGGACCTAGGAGCCATAGTGGTCAGGGCGTCAACCTTTGAACACTATACCTCGAGGTCCACCCCAGCTCAGGGTATCTCCATCTGATGAGTCTAAAGGAAGACGAAACCGGTCATGGGGTCTCAGGGTTGGGAGGAGCAACACCGAATCACCAATTCGGTTACGGTCCTTGTGATCGTAATGACCGAGGTCCACTTAGGACCGAGGTCTGAATAGAGATTGCGACTCGCAATCCAACCACACAGCGGGTACACCAAATGCCACTTGGAACACATTACCGCTGTGCCAAACGTTGCTCGTGGACCTAGGAGCCATAGTGGTCAGGGCGTCAACCTTTGAACACTATACCTCGATGTCCACCCCAGCTCAGGGTATCTCCATCTGATGAGTCTAAAGGAAGACGAAACCGGTCATGGGGTCTCAGGGTTGGGAGGAGCAACACCGAATCACCAATTCGGTTACGGTCCTTGTGATCGTAATGACCGAGGTCCACTTAGGACCGAGGTCTGAATAGAGATTGCGAGTCGCAATCCAACCACACAGCGAGTACACCAAATGCCACTTGGAACACATTACCGCTGTGCCAAACGTTGCTCGTGGACCTAGGAGCCATAGTGGTCAGGGCGTCAACCTTTGAACACTATACCTCGAGGTCCACCCCAGCTCAGGGTATCTCCATCTGATGAGTCTAAAGGAAGACGAAACCGGTCATGGGGTCTCAGGGTTGGGAGGAGCAACACCGAATCACCAATTCGGTTACGGTCCTTGTGATCGTAATGACCGAGGTCCACTTAGGACCGAGGTCTGAATAGAGATTGCGAGTCGCAATCCAACCACACAGCGGGTACACCAAATGCCACTTGGAACACATTACCGCTGTGCCAAACGTTGCTCGTGGACCTAGAAGCCTTAGTGGTCAGGGCGTCAACCTTTGAACACTATACCTCGAGGTCCACCCCAGCTCAGGGTATCTCCATCTGATGAGTCTAAAGGAAGACGAAACCGGTCATGGGGTCTCAGGGTTGGGAGGAGCAACACCGAATCACCAATTCGGTTACGGTCCTTGTGATCGTAATGACCGAGGTCCACTTAGGACCGAGGTCTGAATAGAGATTGCGAGTCGCAATCCAACCACACAGCGGGTACACCAAATGCCACTTGGAACACATTACCGCTGTGCCAAACGTTGCTCGTGGACCTAGGAGCCATAGTGGTCAGGGCGTCAACCTTTGAACACTATACCTCGATGTCCACCCCAGCTCAGGGTATCTCCATCTGATGAGTCTAAAGGAAGACGAAACCGGTCATGGGGTCTCAGGGTTGGGAGGAGCAACACCGAATCACCAATTCGGTTACGGTCCTTGTGATCGTAATGACCGAGGTCCACTTAGGACCGAGGTCTGAATAGAGATTGCGAGTCGCAATCCAACCACACAGCGGGTACACCAAATGCCACTTGGAACACATTACCGCTGTGCCAAACGTTGCTCGTGGACCTAGGAGCCATAGTGGTCAGGGCGTCAACCTTTGAACACTATACCTCGATGTCCACCCCAGCTCAGGGTATCTCCATCTGATGAGTCTAAAGGAAGACGAAACCGGTCATGGGGTCTCAGGGTTGGGAGGAGCAACACCGAATCACCAATTCGGTTACGGTCCTTGTGATCGTAATGACCGAGGTCCACTTAGGACCGAGGTCTGAATAGAGATTGCGAGTCGCAATCCAACCACACAGCGGGTACACCAAATGCCACTTGGAACACATTACCGCTGTGCCAAACGTTGCTCGTGGACCTAGGAGCCATAGTGGTCAGGGCGTCAACCTTTGAACACTATACCTCGAGGTCCACCCCAGCTCAGGGTATCTCCATCTGATGAGTCTAAAGGAAGACGAAACCGGTCATGGGGTCTCAGGGTTGGGAGGAGCAACACCGAATCACCAATTCGGTTACGGTCCTTGTGATCGTAATGACCGAGGTCCACTTAGGACCGAGGTCTGAATAGAGATTGCGAGTCGCAATCCAACCACACAGCGAGTACACCAAATGCCACTTGGAACACATTACCGCTGTGCCAAACGTTGCTCGTGGACCTAGGAGCCATAGTGGTCAGGGCGTCAACCTTTGAACACTATACCTCGAGGTCCACCCCAGCTCAGGGTATCTCCATCTGATGAGTCTAAAGGAAGACGAAACCGGTCATGGGGTCTCAGGGTTGGGAGGAGCAACACCGAATCACCAATTCGGTTACGGTCCTTGTGATCGTAATGACCGAGGTCCACTTAGGACCGAGGTCTGAATAGAGATTGCGAGTCGCAATCCAACCACACAGCGAGTACACCAAATGCCACTTGGAACACATTACCGCTGTGCCAAACGTTGCTCGTGGACCTAGGAGCCTTAGTGGTCAGGGCGTCAACCTTTGAACACTATACCTCGAGGTCCACCCCAGCTCAGGGTATCTCCATCTGATGAGTCTAAAGGAAGACGAAACCGGTCATGGGGTCTCAGGGTTGGGAGGAGCAACACCGAATCACCAATTCGGTTACGGTCCTTGTGATCGTAATGACCGAGGTCCACTTAGGACCGAGGTCTGAATAGAGATTGCGAGTCGCAATCCAACCACACAGCGAGTACACCAAATGCCACTTGGAACACTTTACCGCTGTGCCAAACGTTGCTCGTGGACCTAGGAGCCTTAGTGGTCAGGGCGTCAACCTTTGAACACTATACCTCGAGGTCCACCCCAGCTCAGGGTATCTCCATCTGATGAGTCTAAAGGAAGACGAAACCGGTCATGGGGTCTCAGGGTTGGGAGGAGCAACACCGAATCACCAATTCGGTTACGGTCCTTGTGATCGTAATGACCGAGGTCCACTTAGGACCGAGGTCTGAATAGAGATTGCGAGTCGCAATCCAACCACACAGCGGATACACCAAATGCCACTTGGAACACTTTACCGCTGTGCCAAACGTTGCTCGTGGACCTAGAAGCCTTAGTGGTCAGGGCGTCAACCTTTGAACACTATACCTCGAGGTCCACCCCAGCTCAGGGTATCTCCATCTGATGAGTCTAAAGGAAGACGAAACCGGTCATGGGGTCTCAGGGTTGGGAGGAGCAACACCGAATCACCAATTCGGTTACGGTCCTTGTGATCGTAATGACCGAGGTCCACTTAGGACCGAGGTCTGAATAGAGATTGCGAGTCGCAATCCAACCACACAGCGAGTACACCAAATGCCACTTGGAACACTTTACCGCTGTGCCAAACGTTGCTCGTGGACCTAGAAGCCTTAGTGGTCAGGGCGTCAACCTTTGAACACTATACCTCGAGGTCCACCCCAGCTCAGGGTATCTCCATCTGATGAGTCTAAAGGAAGACGAAACCGGTCATGGGGTCTCAGGGTTGGGAGGAGCAACACCGAATCACCAATTCGGTTACGGTCCTTGTGATCGTAATGACCGAGGTCCACTTAGGACCGAGGTCTGAATAGAGATTGCGAGTCGCAATCCAACCACACAGCGAGTACACCAAATGCCACTTGGAACACTTTACCGCTGTGCCAAACGTTGCTCGCGGACCTAGGAGCCTTAGTGGTCAGGGCGTCAACCTTTGAACACTATACCTCGAGGTCCACCCCAGCTCAGGGTATCTCCATCTGATGAGTCTAAAGGAAGACGAAACCGGTCATGGGGTCTCAGGGTTGGGAGGAGCAACACCGAATCACCAATTCGGTTACGGTCCTTGTGATCGTAATGACCGAGGTCCACTTAGGACCGAGGTCTGAATAGAGATTGCGAGTCGCAATCCAACCACACAGCGAGTACACCAAATGCCACTTGGAACACTTTACCGCTGTGCCAAACGTTGCTCGTGGACCTAGAAGCCTTAGTGGTCAGGGCGTCAACCTTTGAACACTATACCTCGAGGTCCACCCCAGCTCAGGGTATCTCCATCTGATGAGTCTAAAGGAAGACGAAACCGGTCATGGGGTCTCAGGGTTGGGAGGAGCAACACCGAATCACCAATTCGGTTACGGTCCTTGTGATCGTAATGACCGAGGTCCACTTAGGACCGAGGTCTGAATAGAGATTGCGAGTCGCAATCCAACCACACAGCGAGTACACCAAATGCCACTTGGAACACTTTACCGCTGTGCCAAACGTTGCTCGTGGACCTAGGAGCCTTAGTGGTCAGGGCGTCAACCTTTGAACACTATACCTCGAGGTCCACCCCAGCTCAGGGTATCTCCATCTGATGAGTCTAAAGGAAGACGAAACCGGTCATGGGGTCTCAGGGTTGGGAGGAGCAACACCGAATCACCAATTCGGTTACGGTCCTTGTGATCGTAATGACCGAGGTCCACTTAGGACCGAGGTCTGAATAGAGATTGCGAGTCGCAATCCAACCACACAGCGAGTACACCAAATGCCACTTGGAACACTTTACCGCTGTGCCAAACGTTGCTCGTGGACCTAGGAGCCTTAGTGGTCAGGGCGTCAACCTTTGAACACTATACCTCGAGGTCCACCCCAGCTCAGGGTATCTCCATCTGATGAGTCTAAAGGAAGACGAAACCGGTCATGGGGTCTCAGGGTTGGGAGGAGCAACACCAAATCACCAATTCGGTTACGGTCCTTGTGATCGTAATGACCGAGGTCCACTTAGGACCGAGGTCTGAATAGAGATTGCGAGTCGCAATCCAACCACACAGCGAGTACACCAAATGCCACTTGGAACACTTTACCGCTGTGCCAAACGTTGCTCGTGGACCTAGGAGCCTTAGTT